AAATTAAGATTTCCTCGGAGAGTAGTCTTAGGGTTATATCTTCCTCCTATAGGGTTTGCGGCAGCCAGGATACTTGCTCGCGCATTAAGAGTAGTGTGAATTCCGGCTTTGGCGATTGAAATAGTTTGCTGTTCCATGGCTTCGTGGATAGCAACCTGGTCGCTTATATCCATCTTGTCGAACTCATCGATAGCGCAAATTCCACCACCGTTCTATACATATATTAGAGAATCCTTGTTATAGGGATGGCGGTGTTGGGTTCAACTTACTGCAAGCATCAGGGCACCAGCTTCAATCGTAAATTCTCCAGTTTCGGGATCTTTAACGACAGCAGCAGTAAGACCGGCGGCAGATGATGCTTTACCACTGGTATAAACTGCACGCGGATGTAGCTTACAAATGTATCTATAGGGACGAGTTAATTCAAAGAAATGTTGCGTCACTGAATTAGAGAGCCTTGGAATAGACTTACTTCAAAAATTGACTCTTGCTGGTAGATGGGTCACCAACAATACAGATGTTTATATCACCTCGAAGCTGCATCGATTCCTCTACTGTTCGTTTGCTGACTCCACCGACTAATTGCAGGAGTAAGCCCTTTTTGATCTGATGATGACCATAAATCATAGGAGCGATTGAATCAATTAGTCGGGCATATATGTAGTCAGAATGCACCATCTGCTTTAGGTCCTGGACTTCATAAGGGGTTAACGAGTGAAGCAGAGCAGTTTGTGCTTCCTCTTCAACATCATCTGGAGCCTCAACCTGGTTCAATGAAGACAGGATATTTGGAGCCTGGCCGGTTAAGTTCTGATTTGACGACTGGCCAGGGGTAGACAAATCAGGAGTCACCATGCATGCAAGGAACGCAAGGCGATATGTGAGATCTCTCACACCAAGTGATTTCAGACCGCTGACACCATTGCCGCCAACATCACCGCCTCGGAAATTTCCGTAGTCTCTAGTTGCTTCAGGCCGAACGCCAGGCAGGCCTGATTGGCTGATATCTGGAATCACAACAAGCATCCCGGTAAAGATACACCTTTCACCAGCCTTTGCACGGTCAACCATCTCTCCGCGTAAGATTACATCCATCGTCCTGGGCATACTGCCAGTGGGTATCTCATGTGCTGACTCTTGCAGCTTGACCTTCTGCCAGTCAACAAAAGTACTTTTCCTTATATCCAGGCGCCATCCGATGCGGTTACCACACGTAGCACTTGTACACTGGGTAGGCTCTGTAAATTTGAAACTTTGTTCGATATCCGGGCACACATTGTTACAGTTCCCACAAATGAATGTTCCCAGTGCAAGTTCTGGACGTACTTCAGACGTCCTTGTAACCGTTCCTGATATGGAGGAAAGCGTTCCAATCTGTGCCGTTCGCAGTTGTCGAAGCCGTGAGACGAGTGGAAGGTTATAGAACGCCAGGGTAAACACTTTATCAGTTTGCTGGTACCTGGTCTTCCCAGCTAGAGAGTCCGGTTCTGTGCTATCGAGAGCTACAGTTGAAGTTCCGGCCTGCGACGAATGACTTCCAAGCTGTTTATGCGCACGGAAATACTGAGGCTCGTATTTTGCAATCAAATTATGTAGCGCCTTTGTGAGATAAGGCTGAAATCTGTAGTATTGATTTACAATTGCATCTGCCAGTACTTGGTTCGAGGTGAGGTGCGTAAAGTCGACGTAGAGGGTAGAGAGCTGTAGTTTTTGCATTCCGTGGATCTGGGAGATATAGTATTTATCACTGAGCATCTCCGATGATGTGGGAGGAGCGCCGGATGACATGGGGTCTTCAACGTGCGTTTCTAGCAATTCTTCAAAGGCCTGCTGCACCTTTTCACCGGCTACATCGCGAACGGGGGGTGGTCCTGTGCCGTACATAGGGTGTCGAGGACGCCGGGACGACCTGCTCCCAGCACCGACGACCTGGTCATCGGCAAATTCTGGTGCCTCGCTCATGGGCGCATTGCTCTCTGAGGCCAGCGGGAGGCGGGAGCTCGTTGGCGGGGCGTCAGACCGCTGAGAGCTACCCAGCATGGGGCCGCCATCTGCCTCGGAGGTCATAAGCTGATCTAGAATTGACGACATCACGAAGTTCTCATTAGTATTAACATGTAGCAAAAAAGAAAGGAAAACAGCTGCAACAACAACTGGCGGCGTCGTCGATATCTCTTGTCGTTCGCTTCTGCTCGTCTTTTGGGTCGAAAGTTGAAGTTTCGATAAGCAAAAGAAAAAAAATAGTCGCGTCAAGCTCGCGTCTACGCGTAAAGTGGTTTTTCTCACGTGATATAAAATTGGCCCCTGCAGGCAACAAGCAACAACAGCAATAGACAACAACTATTCATTCAAGTAAACATTAAAAACGCTGCTCGACAGAAGAAGTAGGAACACTCTCGATTACTGGTCTAGTTACTCCATACGTAGTCGTTGACTCGTGATCGTAAACTGCATAAGAGGCGTCAGGGCATGGTCGGCGAGGCCGGGGATGGCGTGCTATATCCACCCGCTATACCGGACTGGCAGCTCGTTCAGGATGCCCTCAGAACCGTAGCCGACCCCAAGAAGGCGGACTCTTTCGATCTTGCCACCAAAGTCATCCTCAACGGTGCTATGCCAGTCCTTGAGGTGCGCGCGGACTTCGTTGTAGACCTCCGGGTCATCTATCATGAGAAGGGCAATAGCGTCGTAACCCCCTGCGCCTGGGACAACACCGCCAATAACACCATCCAGTTTGCCAAGTGAATCCAATAGCTCTGTCTGTACCATTGGCTCAACGGGGACTTCGCTCTTCTTTGTCATTGTTTTAATCCACATCCTCGACTTGAGCAGCAGGTTGCGCAGCTCGTTGAAATCTGCTCCCGGACTGTGGAGCAGTTTCCTCAGTTCAAACCGTATCATCTCGTTGTTTAGTTGCAGATTAGCCCATATGATATCAGCTTCCTCACGGTTTTCGTCTCGCCAGCGAAGGAGCTTTTTCACCATGCCTGGAGTCTGGGAGCCGCAGTCAACGTCGCAGAGGACCATTCGTATACCCATGGGTAGCTTGAATCCAACGTCATGGCACTCGGTGTCCCATGGAGCACCTGCGTTGACATCTTCGACGACGGCAAACAGGCGGTCTTCAAACCCAGCCGAGCCAGGTTCACCCAGGCCAGCAAGTACGGACGGAGAGAACCGTCGGTAGTAGCACGACCCGTAAACAGCGGCAGCAACATCGAAACCAGAGCCTATCTTCCCCTGTGCGGCGCAGTGCGCAGCTTGAGCCAAGTTATGTAATTTTGCTTTGTTCTGGGAGAGCTTTTCGGGCTGAACGGTCCGATGAACGACCAGGGCAGATACTAAAGCGGTTACCAGTGCGGCGGATGAGCCTAGGCCTGTCTTATGCGCATCCTGCAGCCGTACTCCAAATTTTTTGAATCCTGCATACCCGCTATTGGAAGAACCGCTGGCAGTGGTTTCAGAGTAATAGTCATCGTCCGCGAGTATGGTCACGACAAGGGAACCAATATTATGGGAGGCAGAAACATAGCTCACGTATGTCAGCGCGTAGTTCAGAGAAGTCTCGACGAATGGATTTCGGGGCCTGTTTACCCAGGAGCTGATTAGCCATATTGATTCGTCGGCCGTATTAAGGTAAACGACACCGGGTTTATGAAACAGCCGTGCAGACAAGGGAACGGGGGGAAACAAAAAACAAAAAAAGGGGGGATAGGAGCATAACGAACCCGTCGTCACATTGGACGGCCCTGACACCGCCTCCGTTGTCAGATCGTTGGATCTTGTACTTCCATACGGCATCAACAAACTGCGGTGACTTGACGGTGATCGTATCCTGCACCCCTTCCTCCTGCGCCCCGCCGTTGACGATACCAGCAGGCGGGATTTCAGCTGTTCCCACGGCTCCGTCTCCCGCTGCCTGGCCGCTGTTCAGCTGTGCATGGCCCTCCGTCTGTGTCTCCGCCGCAGACGGCCTTCTCTTGACGCTCTGTTGTTGCACCACCACATGGATCCTGGCATCCAGGGCACAAACAGTCCCCGTGTAGTCCCTGTCCAGGACCAGGTAGCCTCCCGCAAGCAGCACCTTTCCAGGCGCCGATACGGCCGTCTCTGTCGCAGCCTGTCGTTGCTCTATCATCTTTGCTGTGTGCGCAGCCCTGTTGCTCTTGGCTCTGTGGTTTACCACTCTCTGGAGGGCGAGCTCGAGGTGGCGGGACGCAGCTTCGGCGGGTGGGATGGAGACGGATCGGCTGTGGCTGGGGGCTGATCCAGCATCGTCCATCTAAGCTTCTTGGGCGTCTCTGCACTGCTTAGGCTCACCCTCGCGCTGCAGGGCTGCGGTGGCTCGAATACGGGCGATGTGGCTGAACGCTGTTAGAGCGCCTAGCGGAGCGCTGGTTCAGGGGGGGCGCAAATCCTGGTTCCTGACTCGCTGGCGGCGCAGGCAGAAATACGGGGGAGGTCAGTGGGAACGGCTCGGATTGGGCCCCTTTTCCTTCATCGTGAGACCGTGACGGAGATGAGCATGGCTGGTGTCCCTGGTCAAGCTGGAATTAATGTTAGCTAGTTTAGTTTCTCTGGGACGAGGGCGGCTGCTCGTTTGCGGGCGCGATGCAGCGAAATGAAAGGGACGTCGAAGTTTTCCCCTTTTGGCGATTCTGACGACGTTTCTCTTCACCTCTATATACAACAGCATATTCTACACACAGCACAACCAGCTAGCTAGTTAGCTAACCAGTCAGTTGTTACGGGGCTGCGCAGACCGTTTGGCCCAGAATGCGTAAGAAGCTTGTCGTTCCTTGGAAAAAGTCTTGTCGTTGCTTGTCGCTGTCCAGCATGCTAACGGGATGGCAGATCACTATCGCAGCCAAGCAAGGTCGCTGGCCTGGTATGACGCCGAAGGAGAGGCCCCGAGCCACAATCCGTTTGGGAGAACGAGATCTCGCCCGGAGAGGACGCTGTCGTCGAGCCTGGAGGCGGGCGGCAGCAACAATTACACGATGACCGACATGGAGCGGGTCAAGGAGCCAGAGACTATGCATGGCGCTGTGCCTTCGACTGCCGGGACCGACGGCGTCCAGGGAGGAACTGAGTCCGTTACGAGCACCGCACCTCTTACTCGCGCTGCCGGAGATATCAAGGCCGATGAGCAGGACGTCCACAGAAAATCGGGAGGCTCAGAGTCGGTGGACAAGCAGCAGGAGACCACCCCTGGGGAAGATGCGCCAGCTGCCGGACACGCAAAACAATTTACAGTTGCCGGCCAGTTGAGAGCTACCCTGTTCAGCTCCTGGATCAATATTCTCTTGGTTGCGGCACCCGCTGGAAGTACGTTCGCCCAATTCTTGACCAGGGCTGCCAAAAAGTGATAGATATGTGCTGACAGTCCGAAGTTATTATGTACTACCTCAAGGTCAACTCAGTCGCCGTCTTCGTGGTCAACTTCATTGCCATTGTGTAAGATTTGGGCTCATTAGAGATTGAAGGAAACCAGAGACCAAAAATGCTGACCCATTGGACAGACCCCTTGCTGCAATGCTTGGATATGGAACTGAAGAAATCGCTATGAGGTAGGTTTACCTCCGAGGTTGTTTCTATTTGCGCTGTGCCGCTGTACCGCCCCTAACAACTGCCTCACAGAACTGGAGAGACTGTTGGCGGTCTTCTTAATGCCACCTTTGGGTAAGTGGTCCTCTCAGGTGAACGTTACTCGATTGCTCGCTAACGGTAAATTTTAGCAACGCCGTTGAGCTGATTGTGTCTATCCTTGCGTTGTTCAAGAATGAGATTATCATTGTACAGACCTCGCTAATCGGAAGCATACTGTCTAACCTGCTGCTGGTCATGGGCATGTCCTTCTTCGTTGGAGGAGTGACCCGTATGGAGCAGAATTTCAACGTGACGGTAGCTCAAACTGCATCCAGTCTTCTCGCATTGGCCGTCGGCAGTCTGATCATCCCAACGGCCTTCCACACCTGGTCAGGAAGTATGTTTAGGACATCTCTGTATAAATGTTTAGGTCTGCTAACTGTATCAACTAGATGGCGAGGCTGGCATTGCAGAAATTTCCAGGGGTCAGTGTATAGATATCGTGCTTAAAGAGGTGAACTAACGATCATGCAGGTACCAGCGTCATCTTGCTAATCGTGTACGGAGCCTATCTGTTCTTCCAGCTCAAGTCCCATGCTTCCATCTTCAACACGCCCAGTGAGAAAGTAGAAAAGAGATCAAAGTCCAAGAAGGTCGAGGATGGTGATGCTTCTAAAGGCATTGCCCAGATTGGAGCTGGTTTCTCTGCTTCCATGGGCGGACAGAATGCCCAGCATATCCCGGTGGTCGTCCCCGAGGAAGAAGAGGAACCCCAGCTCAGTATATACGTTGCCGTGTTTACTCTTTGCGCTTCTACTGCTCTGGTCGCTCTTTGCGCAGAGGCAATGGTACGTACTATACCTGCTCCATGCTGCGACCACCTTCTTCCCTGAATGCTAGTAGTATTGTGTTCTCTTGCTCATCAAGTCCAAAATACACAGGTTTCCTCGATCGACGCAATCACGACTTCTGGTGGCATCTCGGAAACGTTTGTTGGTTTGATCCTGCTTCCTATCGTTGGAAACGCGGCAGAGCACGCTACTGCCGTGACCGTGGCAGCGAAGGATAAGATGGATCTCTCTATCGGAGTTGCTGTCGGCTCGAGCATGCAAATTGCCCTTCTTGTGCTACCGCTTCTTGTAGTCATAGGCTGGATTGCTGGTACGTCTGTACTCACTTTGTTCTTTTTACACTCCGCGTCTCCATTTATGAAGCTCTAGGCTAACAATAGGCTACTCCATTATAGGAAAGGATGACATGGTAATTGACGCCTAGTCCTGTAGATGCGGGTTTTTGCATCTCGCATATTCATATGATCGATACTAACATCAGACTAGACCCTTTACTTTGACGGATTCCAGGTCACAGTGCTCTTCGTCACCGTGCTTTTGGTATGTATCATGCCCCATCTCTCAAAAAAATAAAAATAAAAATAAAAATAAAAATAAAAAAGTACCCCAGGTATATGACCGGCGTCTGACTGAAGAACCCCTGTAACAGGTCAACTACCTTATCCAGGACGGAAAGTCACATTGGTTGGAGGGAGTCCAACTCATGACCCTCTACATCATCATCTCAGTTGCTGCATGGTGAGTAACGCCCCTTGTCCATGTCTCCCGCTGTCGACCCTTGCTGGTGTGTGTACGTGCGTACGTTGCTGACACTCGACTCATCCTGCAGGTTCTACCCATCCCGCAGCGAAAAGATGCACGGAATGTCATAGACGTCGTCGTCTCTGTCACCAACTGCCGGTTCATGTCCTGTTTGCCTTAGCTTCTTTCAACCCGGTACGTTATCAAACCCGCAACGTCACACCATGTTGCGGCTGGTAGCTCGCCTCCCTTTTTTCCTTGCGCTTCCTTTTCTTGTGATTGATACCCTTATGATGTTTTACCTTTTCACCCTTTACTTTTTTGCCTTTCTCTATAGAGTCGGTGTAACTTCATCTAATCAACCTACGCAATGTAACAAAGAGAGTGAGAGAAACAGAGACAGAGACAGAGACAGCAACCATGAGTGTAATAATAAAAAAGAAACCGCCGACGCCTCGAGGCGCCTGTAACTTGCAAAACCCGCCGGCCCGCATCTCATCATCAACTGACAACGAAAAAGCAAGAGATAAAAAAGAAAAAAGAAAGAAAGAAAGAAAGAAAACCTCGCCGTCAGTAAGCAAAGAAAGTAGCAAACCAGCCTGGCCATCGACGCTTGACTCTGCTGTATTTTTCAACCTTCCGTGGGACCCTCCCCCCCGCGCGCGCTGAAATCCCGCCGCAGTCCGCATAGGCTATCCAGCCAGCAAGACTATCCACGACCTGATCCGCCCGACCGAAGCCACCGAGCAGGCCAGCAGCCAGAGTCGGCATAAGCATAAGCATAATCAAGCATACGCAGGGCAGATCAGATCGACAGTCGAGCAGTCAAGCGGCTTGGATCTCCAGACTCGGCCAACGCTTCCCCGGAGCACGCAAGCAAACTAACTAACCAACTAGCTAGCTTAACCGACGAGGCCGCCAGACAGCCAGACAGCCAGACAGCCAAAACGTCACCCAGACGGGCTCAAAACACGAAGCCAGCGACGCAAGCGATGCCGAAAGTCCAGGCCGAGCCCGAGTTCCCTCCTCCCTTCCAGTCGACTCGCCAGGGAGATAACTAGTTAGTCAGTTAGTTCGACGGTGGGTTTGCGTTAGCCTCCCGACTGGTTCCTGACCGACTTCTTCCCGGCGACGGCGACGGCGACGGCGACGGCGGCGGCGGCGATGGATGCCTGTCTGCCTGTCTGTCTTGTCTAGGAATACGGACGGCTGCGCCCCGAGACAGGTTATCAGGCCCTGGCTGCCCTGCCCTGCCCTGCTGGCCTGGCCTGGCAGCTCCCGAGGCGCTGCCTTGGAAGAGCGATTTATCTATACGTGAATGGACGGCGGACGGGCCGAGGGACTTGATCGCGGCCTCAGGGAGTTATATCAGACAGAGATCAAAGCGCAGGACGGACAGGCAGAGGATGCGGCCTAGCGAAGTGCCGTGAGTATCTATCTCCTCTCCTTGCATGGATGCCCGCCAGCTGCCTGATGGGTTCGTCGTCTCTTGACCATACATATAGGGTGGGTTGCTAGCTGGCTATCTAACTAGTTATCCATACTTACGAAAGGATGCGGTGAAGATGATTGACATGTTTTTAATATAGTGTTTTTATTTTCATTTTTCATTAACGACTCCGTAGTTATTTGTTTCTTTTCTTTCTCTGTATTCTTTCTTTCTTTCTTTCTTTTTTTTTGTAATTCTTTAGTTAGTTACCGTGCTCCGCTACCGTCCGAGTGATGTGTTACTCGCACGTTCGGAGTAAGGCATGAGACAGAAACGTAATGGAAACACTCAGGCCATCCAGCTGCTGGAAAGGCCGGGAGGAAAAAGAAACGACGAAGCATGACAAGAATAATAATAATGAGATCCGATAGCATCATACAGTGGGTTTCGTTGTTCCCTTTGAGTTGAAAAAATACACCAAGAACAGCCAACATTAGAAGCCATATCCATGCCCGTACAAAAATGCCTGAGTGAGAGAGGTGAAAAATAAATGTGGAAAAAAATAAAATAAAAAAAAATAAAAATAAAAAAAGATTACCAGTCTTGATCCATATCCAGCTCCTTGCCTGACCCAGTTCCCTATTCCGATTTCATATAATGTAGCTCTGTTGAGAAGATGAGGTGATTGTATGTGAATAAAAGAGAAATGTAGAAGAGATAGTGATAGCAGATGCGGGATGCGAGATGCGATGCAATGGCGATGGATAAATATACGGTAATAAAGCAGGGAGAGAAGGCAGAGAATATGACGAAGGAGACGAGAGGAGAGATGGAGGTGTATGGAAAGATTGGGAGATTAATGGGTGCATTCGCTCCAGATAAGAGCTAGCCATCCGTTTGCGTTGGTGCTGGCGTTTGCACCGGTGTTGGTGGTAGAGCTGTAGCCGTTGCTGGCTTGATACTGGCCATTCATGTTTGATAGCGACGCCGGAGACGGAGGACCGTTGGGCGTAGGGACCATGGTAGACCACTTGTCGAAGCTATCTGCTTCAATAAAGACAAGGACGTCTTCTCCATTTAGGCTGCTCATCCACAGCGGATTGGCATTGACCGCATCATATGAGCTGTACGGTGAAACATGCCGAGACGGCGGCTGGTGTTGGTGTTGATGGTGTGATGCTTGCTGCTGTTGCTGCTGCTGTTGCTGTTGCTGTTGGGTAGGTGGTGGCGCCAGGAACGAACCTAGGTCCAGCCTGGTCTGGGAAAGTGGAGGAGTCCTGTTGCTTGAGCCATGCGATACATTATGACTATGCTGCGCTGGTCCAGACCCGGGACCATGCGCTCCGAGTGCTTGGCCGCTGTGGGTTAGACTCGGCTGGAGAGGAGGTAAGGGGAAGTTCTGCTGGGCAGCCAGATTCAGCGAGGGAAGAGACTGAGAGTATGGTGGCGGGGGAGGAGGAGGAGGTTGGCGGGATGTTGGCCAGGGCTGGACAGCTTGCAGACGATGGTTTGAGTTTGAGTTGGATGGCGAAGGAGTCGCAGGGAAGTATGGCGAAGAGGCTGCTGTGGTGGGTGCAGTCGCAGCGGACGAAGATGGGACTGGCGGCGGGAGAGTTGTCCCTGCTGAGCTGGGAGGGCTGGCTGGCAGTCCCGTAGAGGGAGTATCACGATATGTGCCCTGGAAGGGAGGCAGGCTGTACGGCGAACCGGAGGGTGGACCAGCCTGCTGCTGAGGAGCTGGGAGGATGGGCCATCTATCGCAATCAGAGGACTGTTTCTCGCCATTCTCCTTGCATCCGTTGGCCATTATACCCATGGTAGATGCAGCAGCGCCGCCTGAAGTAGTTGCCGTCGCTGCGTTTGAGATGGGGGCCAGAGAGTGAGACGCCGGGCTGCCGCTGCTGTTGACCGGTACCCATGAGTCTCGCTGCAGGCTACCAGCATGTCCCTCGCCGCCATGGGGACCAGTAGCATTAACAGAGTTCTCTGGGCCCTCGCCCGGCTCGCTCTTGACAATGTTGCTCTGCGCCTCGCTGCTGTGCTCCGTCGGATTCGCAAGAAGCATCGCAGCCATGTCGTCGTCCGACCCGCTCATCTCAGGCGTTTGGTCCTCTGTACTACCCAAATCTGTGAGCACCTTGTCTAGCTGTCTAAGCTCCTCGTATAGATTGTTCTGGACAATCTGCGAGGCAGAAGTGTGGCGGTTATGGTTATGGCTATGGCTGCTGTGCTGCTGAGCACCGCCAACTACCCTGTTGCCATTTCCATATGGTGATGGATGCTGTTGCTGCCCGTCGACGCCGTTCATTTCCAGCTTCCTCCAGAGACGCTTCTGGTCTCTCTTGACCTTGCAGAAATACCCATGTAGACGATGGACAGTTCGGAACCAGCCGACTGCCATCTTCAACCGAGGCCTCATCTCACCGAGGATCTCAATGGATTTCCGTACATCGGCCTGCGCCAGACTGCCTGCACCCATCATTGTTACTGCGGTGCGACCAGGAGAGCTAGCGGTACCACCGTCGCCCGAGTGCGGCTTCAAACACAGGTAACCATCCTGATCCATGTGGTTGAAGTGGGCAGCGTACACGCCCATGAAGGTAGCGTTGTAGATTGCAAAGGCGACCAGGGGCGTCTCCATCAGCACACCACGTTCATGACAGGTGCGAAGAAGTTCCACCATCTGCCTGGCTGCGCGAAATAGTTCGCGAGCGCTGTCCTTCCAGAAGCTGTCGGGCACGCTGTACCTCTCGGGCGGGTATGATGGCTCGTCCAGGGGCCCCTGTGGATCCATGGGCCGGAGCGGAAGGAAAGGTAGGTATGCGCGATGTAAGACAATGACTGAAAGAAAGTAGATGATGTGCATGAGTGCATATGGAGCGAGCGAGTTTTTATACATGATGTGGGTGTCGGTGTTGCGAGCGCTGTACTGCAGGTTTCTGTACAGTCCTTCCTGGAATTCATGTAGTTGGTCCCTGAGCTGGTTGAACCGAGACTCATGGTGCCACGGAGGACATTGATCAGACCTATAGTTATCCGTTAGCATGCATAGATAGATAAATAGATAGATAAAAACAGAAGAGGCAGTATTATAATAGGGACAGACATACCTCCTGCCTCCTTCGCAAGCCCATTTCGCAACGCTGCCCCAGATTCGGATAATCCGAACAAGTCGGCCCAGGACGCACTCCTCGACACCGACTTCCCACCTATCGATCCGGTCTCCTATTCCATCGCTTCTGTGGCTGGAAACTGGAGGCCAAGGTTTGGACTTGACATCGTCTGCATATCCGATCGACTGTCTGAGACTGGGTATCTGTACTCCGTTGGTGGTCGTGGTGGCCGACCCGTTACGAGAATCATAACTCTGTGACCGCCTACTGGGTCCGTTGCGGCCGGTGTTTCCGTCACTTAGCAGGGAGGTCCGTACCCGCTCGCCAAACGCGAAGGCGTTCTCGCTGGGGAGCTGGATGCCGATCTCACGCACCCTGAGCATCCTCGGACGCAGCCTGCCATTACTCAGACACCTGTCGAGGATAAAACAGCTCCAGAAGGTCCGTCTCCGGGTCTCC